AGGGAAGAAAGAAAAGAAAGAAGGAAGGAAAGAAAGAAAAAAGAAAGAGGGAAGAAAGGAAAGAAAAGAATGAAAGAAAGGAGGAAGGGAGAAAGGAAGGAAGGAGGAAAAGAAAAAAGAAAGAAGGAGGGAAGGAAGGAAAGAAGGAAAGAATGAAAGAAAGAAAGGAGGAAGGAAGGAAGGAAGGAAGGAGGAAAAGAAAAAAGAAGGAGGGAAGGAAGGAAAGAAGGAAGGAAAGAATGAAAGAAAGAAAGGAGGAAGGAAGAAAGGAAGGAAGGAGGAAAAGAAAAAAGAAAGGAGGAGGGAAGGAAGGAAAGAAGGAAGGAAAAAAGAAAGAAGGAAAGAAAGAGAAACAAAGAAAGGAGGGAGGAAGGAAAGAAAGAAAAAAGAAAGGAGGGAAGAAAGGAAAGAAACAAACAAACAAAGAAAGGAGAGAGAAAGGAAGGAAGGAAAGAAAAAAGAAAGGAGGGAAGAAAGGAAAGAAGAAGGAAAAAAGAAAGAAGGAAAGAAAGAGAAATAAGAAAGAAAGGAATGAGGGAGGGAGGAAAGAAAGAAAAAAGAAAGGAGGGAAGAAAGAGAAGAAAGGAAAGAAGGAAGGAAAGAAAAAAGAGGAAAGAAAAGAAAGGAAAGAAAGGAGGGAGGAAGGAAGGAAGGAAAAATTATCTTCTGGCAAAGATCTTTTTCATTTCTTCCCTCTTTAAATTACCTCCCAGGCTTTCTCTCACCTGAGCTTACCAAAGTGATATTTTAAAAAACTGACATGATAGTAGGCTGGCGTGGCTACGTACAAATTTGGGGGGGAGGGAGGGGGGCTGAATGCCATTGAGAGGCTTAATCTGCAGAATTAACATTTGGAAGCCGAGATTCCAAATCCAAATCCATCCCCTGTGCTGAGCCAAGTGCCAAGATACAGTAACTGCACCTGAAGGAGACCAGGTTTTGTCCGAAGCAAGGCGTGGCCTTAACGTACTTGTAGCAGTTGCTCAATGTCTTGTTTCTCCAGGTAGGAGCGAGTGACCACCCGGCCATCGAAGTCCACTTCTGCTTTGAATCTCACTTTGTTCATCCCCATATCTGTAGCTTTGACGTCATGGATCGCTCTAAGGTAAATAGGAGGAAGCGGGGGGAAAAACAACAACAACCGGCCATTAGGAGTTTTTAACTCCAAAGAAATTAGAAAACATTGGCAGGAGGAGATTTCTCCCGTCTCCCTCTTCAAAGTTCCCTTCCGTGAAGCCCTTGATAGCAACAGCAATAGCAGTTCGACTTATATACCGCTTCATAGGGCT